AGAGGGAGTTGTAGACTCCAAGACGATCTTTGCTCAGGCATTTAAAAAACAAACCTCGGAGACAGAAGTGCAGAGCTGCTTAGCTCCACCCAACTCACTGCTGCATAAGAATGGAGCTCATTGGAAATCAAGATTTCCGTTTAAATTTTCCCAATGTCTAAGCGTGGACGAGTACGTTTACACACACACACACACACACACACACACACACACACACTGAGAGCCTAATAAAAATACAAGTTTGCAGACTATGCCCTATGCCCTAGTCTTTTCTGAGGATGATCTTTTTTATCATCTATCATCTATCTAATAAGATGAGCGCGACAGCCAGACCAGACCCACACTGGACAGGTGGGGCACCCTCCCCAGAGCTTTCTCCTGGGATGCCACCCGCTGCAGATTTCTTCTGCAAACCAACACCGACCGGCTCAGTTAGATATACAGCCTGAATTCGAAGCTGTCCTTCGATGTGGGAGCATAGGTTTTGACCTGGCCCTCTCCAGCGAGCCAAATTGCAGGAGATCATCTGCCCTTCAGTCACCGGAAGGCGAGAGCACGTCCTGTCGCCCGGCGCCCGCGGAGCCGGCGCCTACACCCTCTGCGCGCCGCGCGGGCCTCGAGAGCGCCCTGCGGGACTCGCGCCCAGCACGTGCGGGAGCCAGCCTGCTTCTCCCGGGCTCCGGCCCCCAGACCTCTCGGAACTCTGGGCGCTGTGAGGCCTTGCTCCCCCTCCAAGGTAGAGGCATTTCGAGACTCGCAAGGGGCTGACAGGTCGCTAGCGTGGCCTCGAGTGGGCTCCGGGCTTTGCTGCTACAGCAGCCGAGGCCCTTACCTGGAAAATCTACACCCGGACTAGAGCGGGGTTTGAGGCAGGGTCTGCCCCCAGGCTTGCCCAGCCCAGCTATGGCCACGCACTTTCCCTGAGTGTCCCTCGGTGTTCGGCCTCCCCACTCCTGGCGACTCAGTGCCTTGCCGGCTGGGGGCCCGAAGGGCGCCCGCCACGGTCTCCCGCGGAGTGAAGCCGCGAGGGCGCAGGCACACGGACAGCTCCCTTGGGCCCAAAACGCAAGGCGTAAGGCAAGGCTCGTCGTCAAGTGCCTGGGGCTAGGCGGCCTGGCCGGACCCGGGTGGGCTGGGCGTCCGGAGTGGGGAGCGGTCCTCGGGTCCCCAGCACGAAAGCTCCCGCGCGATGCGCCTCTTCCCGCTCTCTGGCCTTGGGAGAGCACAGCCCGCCCCAGGGTGCATCCCGACAAGGCTTCAAATGCTGGGGTGGGGGCAGGAGTAAGTTGCGGGGAGTGGGACAGCCTTTCCGAATGAAATGTACCGAGAAACCCCTCCTGCATCTCCCGCGGGGACAAGGTCCCGGGCCTTGGAATCTGCTGGCCAGATTCCTGGAGACCGCCCGAGAACCCCTACGCTGGGGCCAGAACGGGTGCCTTTCCTGCCCTGGGGTAGTCAGGGCAGCCCGGAGTGGCATCGTGGGCCTGAACATCCGTGTTAGAAATCTGCCAGGAGAAAAGTCGCTTGGGGGCCACCGCGTAAGGCCCCCCACAAAAGCCCCAACAGTGCGGGTGCAGTGGTTTATTGGCCCAGATAACAGACCCAAGCCCTCTCCCCAGCGCCCCTGTCACGCACACGACTCTTCCCCTGCAGCAAACGGGTCCAGGCGAAGGGAACCGAGCGGCGGCCGGGGTAGCTGGCGGCCACTACGCACTCACACCCCGGAGCCTAACGCCGGAGTGGCCGCCCCTTAGCCCGCGCCACGCAGTGCTCGGCCTGTGCCTCCAGGGGGCGCTGCGGCCCTTCCCGCGGGCCGCCGAGCGAGCGCCCGCGGCTGCGCTTTCCCAGCCTCCCTTCTGCTGGGAGCGCAGGCTCCCACGCGCTTTTTTAAAACAGAAAATTCTTAGGCTTTTGGCCCCTTCCTCGGCACCCTGAACTGTAAGCCTAGTGCACGCGATTCTCCTGTGTCCCCCGAGCGTCCCGACTACTCCGGGACTGGCGTGCGCGCACCCTGAGCAGAGCTGAACTTCCGACTCCCTCGGGCTCCGGCGAAAAACAGAAAACTGCGGGAAGTTCAAATGCAACAGGTCCCCGCCCCGCAGGGGCTGTGGAGGAGGGACGCGAGTCCCCAGAGGTAGCGGCTGGGATCCCTGGAAAAAAGATAAGGTTCCCATAATTTGTGTTTTACAGGTTGAAAGTTTCTAGGAAGTCCGCAGCGCGCGGTCAGCGTGGGAGAGGCTCAGAGTCAAGTAACTCCAGGGACGTCTGTGTCTGACACCTGCTCGCTGCTTAACTGGCAGAGCCTCCTGGGTGGGCCAGCGGGAAGGGGCCTGCGCGGCGTCTCCCACCCACGTCCTCCGCGTTTCCTCTCCGGCCTTCGTCCTCGCCTCCGGAGGCGTAAACCTGCAGTGGTTGGGGGTTCAGGCGGCGACTGCTTGCGCGCCCCCCTTCAGTCTGTTAGCCCTTTCCCTGGAAGCGTCCTTGGTGTCGAAAGCCAGTAACTGCGAGGACAGCAGATGACCCGGTCGGCGGAAATTTCAGCGTGAACCCGCAGCGCAGCTCCGGAGGCTGCGCGGGGGAGGGAGGCCGAGCGGCTCCACGAAGGCTAAGCCCCCAGAGCACAGCTGGGCCGCTGCAGACTCCAGGACTTCGCTCTCCGCACACCCGGACCCCACAGCTCGCCCGTGGGCCTGCGGCCTGTCTTCTGCGCCGGGCGCTGTCGCGGGAGAACTCTGGCGGGTGAGCTGACGTGGGTGGGCCCCCGCAATGCATGCGGCCCAGACGCCGGCCTGGACGAGGAGCTTGCCGGGTCTGAGCGCGGCGCGGAGGTGGCCTAGGGGAGCCCGCGCGCAGTGCCGCGCCGCGCTCAGCCTCCGGCTAGCTCCCTGCGCCTGGAGCGCACCTGCCCATCGAGGCGGCAGGGCCAGGAGGCTACCCAGGCGCTGCCGGGCCACGCGGCATCCCCCAAAGCAGAGCTCGCCGACTCTTCCTACCTTTGAAGCGACCGCAGAGTTCGTGCTGGCGTGGGCCAGACTCCATTTTGGAACTTCAGAGGCTGGGGTGGACGAAGTAAACACGTTTATGGAAAAGCCCGGGCTCAGGAGGTTTGCGGAAAGAGGGCGCAGCTCATGGGTGGTTGGAAATTCTGTCTGCCCCACGGGAAAAGCAGGCGGTTCCGCACCCAACGTACACACACTTAGGGCAGGAAGGTGTGAAGCCCGCTGCTGGGGATTGCCTCATGTTTGGTGAAAAGGAAATGCGAAGCTTAGGAACACTCTTCAGGTCGCCACCCGGAGAGTGTGAGTCCTGGGGGTACTGGAAGAAGAGAAAGTTCCCTCCAGATCTCCCAAATTGAGAAAAGCTGCGGAAGGAATGAGGCGGTTGGAGAAAGGGGACCGCAGGCATCCCGCAGCTGAAGCTCAGGATTGAGCGCTAAAATGAAAGCACCCCAAGGGAGCCCACTAGGGAAAACGGCTTTTAAGAAACTCTGAGCTCTTAGGCATTCTGCTTCCATGCTATTTGTCAAATCTACTTCGAACCAATTAAGTACTTTAGGCTATTACACACTCGGCTCTCCATTCCAAGCTCACTTTTTAGTCTTTGCGAACTTAAAAATAGAAAGAAAGAAAAAAGATCTGTTACCCCTGAATTATGTTTTACCAAAGGAACGAAAAATTCTACCCACCTCAACATAAATGAAATAGAAAGCGTTTTATTTTAATAAACTAATAGCTTGTAGCTTCTGCCTGGCTCCCCCATCAGTAACCATTTGACGGCTTTTAGCCTTCTGTTATATTTGTCCACTTCCCCGCACGGTTGAGATTATTTTAATTGTCCTTTGAGGAGTCTCATTCAAAACCATCCTTTGGCGGAACACTTTTGAGTTGTACGGCCTCTTGGCTGGAAAGGCTACACTCTTCAAAGCGCGGGCTTGCCGTGGGCTAACGCAAATCCCCTCTGGCGACTCGTCTGGGGCGAAGGGCATTTTGCTTAGTGTTGCTCACGCAGATCTCATTTGAAAAGCTACTTAAAATGGGTATGTGTTATGCCCTTTCTGTCACTTGGTCGGTCATCCTATCCCCAGAGTGGCTGCAGCGCGTTCTGCAGTTACACTCACACAAAACCAAACCATTAGAAGAACCTGAAAAATGTATCACTGCACTTCAAATTCGATTAACTTTCCTGGCGACTGAACAATGAATTCAATTTTTGCTGGGAATGAAGGTGTACATGTTTTGAGAAGCTAAAATAGTATTTTCCTAAACCTAAAAATTTTAAATGATCACCTATTTCAGATGGATTCTTTTTTTTTCCCCCAGATGGATTCTTTATTGTTTGGCAGTGGGTTGCAGATGCCCACCCTTTTAACCAAGTTGGTTAACTGCTTATTAAATGTACATTGGCTGATTAAAGCTTATATATTGGAAGAAAGTTCTCCTGGGTTCATTCCACACGTCTTTGCAGTAATTACGAAATTAGTCAATTGTCACCTCCGTAAACAAACTGTTTTTAAAACAGGCGAAAGCAAACTACACAGATAGACATAATTAACCACAAATATGCACAAAATAATTTAAAATTTGTGGGAAGATTGATATACGCTGGAGAATATAATCTACAAATGATTGATTTTACTATACGAAGAAGACGGTTGTGGTAAACGTGTTAAGCGGCGAACGCACCGAGCAAAACTACAAGTGCCCTTTGGGTTTCTCTGCGGGGTCTTTGAGAGGTAGAGAACCAGTTGATTTTCTAACAGGATAAGGAAAAGAGGTACAGAGAAGGAAGGGGGTAGGGGTTGTGTTTGTGCGTGAGTTTTGAACTGAGTCAGCGTCGACTCTCTGTAACAGGGAAACCCCGAGCAAACCTGTGCCTTTAAGACTCAGTTGCTATCCAAACACAAGTAAACAGAGTGGACCATTAGCAGGCGCCGGGCGCGGGGGCGGAGCCAGGGCGCCCAGGGCCCCGCGCGGCCGCGAGACGCCCGCCCGAAGGGGAGGCGGGGCCGCTACTAAAGCCCCGGACTCTGGGCCCCGGGCAGCCTGGGGAGGGACGCGGGCGGGTACTGAGCTCCGCGCGCTTGCTGCCGGAGGGTGATGGCCCTGCGAGGCTGCTGGCTCCGACCTCACTCGGAGTCGGCGGCTAGAGGCTCGCCGAGGCGCGTGGTTCTGGGCGAGCGCTGAGCGCCGGCCCCAAGCACCCCGGGTCTTTTACACATTCCGCGTCCACAGACGCTGACGAAAACGAGGATCTGTTCTCGCTTTCGCTGCTCTCAGTCCTCCAGATCATGTCCGCGACTCCCGCGACTCCGCGCGGAAAAAGAAGTTTGCCTGGCGTGGACCCAATGACCTTTCCAAGCTGTGCGTCTCGCTGCCTGGACCGGGTCTGAGCGGCGCTGCCCAGGCGGACCTCTCTGCCGGAGGTGAGTGTCCGCTCTGAGAAAGGGCTGTAGCCGCCCTAAAGGAGGAAGGGTTTGGGGTGCAAGGGGCGCTCAGATTCTCAGTCCGCAGTGCCACAGTTAAGATATTGTGAAAAGAAATCGTGTGGATGCAATCCTCGGGCATTGTGTTTCTCCTTTCCTTGGATCCCCCGGTACGCGACTCCCAGCTAACACCCAACCACACACACTATAATAGTATGTACTATTTATTAGTTTTGGGATGTTTAAACATTAAGCAAGACTTCTTATAAAAGCTGATCGACGTACGCTGAGATCAACCCTCACACCCCCTTCGTGTTTCTGCCCTGGCCCTAAGAAAGCCCGGGTCGACCTGTCCCGGAGCAAGCGCGCCAGCGCAGCGCAGACGGGCCCGGACACACAGTGCCTGCCCAGCCTGCGACGCTGAAGGCGCGTTTCAAGATGGAAATGGTTCAGTCCTAGATAATTCTCCAACCTTGTGCTGGCCTTTTGCTTTTCCTATCACTCTCCAGTCCTGGCAGAGCGGGCAGAAAGCCAACTCCCCCGGAGCTTAAATGCTTGGATTCCTGAGAAATAGCAACTGAGGAAGGAGTTGCGGTCGTACGAAGGAGGGTGGAAAAGGTGTTTGTGGGGAGAGCTCTGGATCTGTCTCCCTACCTGCTCGCAGAGAACAAAAGAGGCTGGCGTTTCCCCGAGCGAAACGGCGCAGACAGATCTTTCTCTGCTAAACAAACTGCAGTCCTGAGCAGAACAAGAAAATTACTCGCGCAGGGGGAGCGAGGGAGCAGAAACAGAACCCAGATTATGCGGAAGGCATCTTAATTTAATTAACTCCTTGGGAAGGCAGAGGCGCTGCGAAGGGACAGGAACTTCGCGGCCGTTTTTCTCTATTCACCTGATACAGTCTGGCTTTTTTTTTTTTTTTTTTTTAATGATCGTCTTAGATCCACTTAGACCATAGCTCTCTGATTTACGTAAAATTCTATTGTGGTTTGGACTGAAATTCAGTGAGCCTATGGATCCATCAGCCATTTCTCTAAGATACCGAAGCACAAGTTTTAGCAGATGAATCCTGAATATATTATTTTTAGATAATTCAGTGTAATGACACCATTACCAAAGAGCAAGACTCCTTATCAAATTACCACGTACTTTTTTCTCGCCAATGTTTTGAAAGCTTCAGTGAACTGAAATAAGTATGTACACATCTCCCTTGTTAACAGCCAGTAAACTAAATTTTACAAAACTTCTGTACATGCCTGGAAATTCCTGTGAAGAAGATTGATGAAAGAAAAGTAACCTCAGCTCCACCAAGATATTCATACCTTTTCATTGGTTTAAGTTTCTTTCCTTGCAAAATTAAAAGTAACCAATGGTCTGAAACGGGATGGCAGAGAAATGACAGGAGACGGTCATCACTGTTACTGCCTGAAAGGAAGTGTGGGAACTGCATGGTTCAGTGCTACACAAAACGAAAGTACCTTAGATGTCTGCATTGACTTAAAATATTTTTTTGACATACATTTCCAGCAACTCAAGGGGAGTGTGGAAATCTAAATGTCCTAATTATTTATGGCAAAAGCATTTGGCAGATATTTAGGGTTGTTATGTTTGTAAAAGGGTTTCAAAAGGACCAATAGTTCGCTCTTCCTTTGTGAAGAAATTATCCGTCCTGCAAATTAAAACAAATACATACTACAGAATAGCCCTTTTGTACCAACATGAACCTGAGTTATAATAGAGTCATTAATTTCTTCGTTATGAGCCATTTGGAGAAAAGGGAAGAAAGATGGTACTCAACTTTCTGGGGCAGAATTAATGTAACCTTTATGGCAGAGTTCACTTTGTGCATTTGGAATCAAAATCACAGGTAGTGATAGTCCATCAGCTGACAACACCCCCCCCCACACACACACACACACCCGTGGTTAGAGTTGTGTTTTGCCTCCTGTATTTGTTTCTAAGAAATCTAGTCCGGGAATACACCTAAATAATGATCTCAGTTTCCTCTCTATGGGGGAGAGGCTGCTTTTCAACACTAGGGGGAAAATAGTATCTTGAATCTCTGGAAAATCTTCATTAGCCAAAGAGAAGGAAATAAAGGTGTAATTTATTTTTTAATTGAAGGGGAAATAATCAGGTAGATTACCAGGGATGTTAGTGGAATCCTTTTTTCCTACCTCCCTAGAAAGAGGTCTCGAGGGTTGCCGCTGAACAAAAAATGAATCGTGATTTGTGGTGGGAAAGTTTATTACTAATGGGAGTTTACAGTTTCGGTTGAATGGTCTGACTGAGCCCCTCCGACTGTTGCACACCTCTCATTAACTCCCAGCCTGAACTCCCAGACCGCACACCACTAAGCAGAAGCGATTCATTTATAAATCTCTGTCTCTGAGCCGCTTGGAGCAAAGGAGGAAGGTGCGGGCCCTACGGAGGCGTCCAGATTCTGCCTTGTCAGAGTGCTCGGTCATTAGCGAAGCCCCCTAACTCTGCCCCCAGACACAGCCACAGGCAATACTTCACAACGGCTCGGGAGAAGAAAATTCAGACACAGAAAGGGGTGGGTGAGGAGGGAAGGTTGGACAGACTTTCCTACCTTCCAGCTAGGGCCAACGCTAAGCGTGGTGGTTGGCGGCGCAGACTAGCCAGGCTGCTCCTGTCCGGTAAGAGCACCGAGTTTTGAGTCCCGCAACTGGGGAGCCGCCCTCCAAGGGAAGGCCCTTGCCCGCCAAGCTGGCAGAACCCGCTTCTGCAAAGGGGCCAGCAGTGGGGGGAGGTGGGCCCACGACGAATGCAGGTGAGGTGCTCCCAGGAACTCGGGTCTGAAATCAGACCTCTGTGCCTCACCGTTGCCATTGGGGGCGCAGGGAGAGAGGAGCTCCCTGCTTAGGCCCACGCCACAGACCCCAGGCCGGGCTTCCCGGTGGCGGGAGCGCAGATGCGCACACTCCTAGGCCCATAAACAAGATTCCTGCAGGCTCGCAGAGCCGCACTGTACTCGGCCGCTGTGGCTCCCTAGCAGCTCCTACCCTTTTCCTACCTAAGGAGCGCTTCCCTCTCCTCCGCTGTCTCCAGAGGCCTCCTGGGTGTAGAGGCCGCTCCTCGTGCCAGGCCTGGAAGCAACTCGGGCCTCCCGAGAGCTTGGCGCTCAGTCTAGGAAAGGGGGTTCAGGCCTCGGGGACGTTCTCCGCCCCCACTCCACCTCCCAGGAGCCTGAACCATCTGGAAGGGATCTTGGTGGGGGGTGGGTGGGGGCGGCCCCTGGGAAGGAGGAGGGGGCGATTCTAGGCCGAATCCAGCCCCTAAGGTGTCACCTTTCTTTCCTGCGGCCCGCCACCGCTGATAAATGGGACTGAGGCAGAGGAAGGAAAAATAAAACCTCGAGGTCAGCGCGGGGCGAGGTGGGCCCCCCAGAGGGCCCTGTGGCCCAGGAGGATGAAGCGCGCCCCAGCTGCATTCTCGCATGCCGGGTGCGGCCAGGATACTCGCGGGAAAGGCGGCCGCGGGGCAGGCGACCGGCGCGGTGAGCAGCTGGAGTAGCCACTGCACGGGGCCCAGCCGGACGCACAACCCGTCCCTCCACCAGGGTGCTCTGAGGCGCCACGGGCCATTGCGGTTCACTGAGCTTCGCCTGACAGGGTGTGTGTGGGGGGGGGAGGGGGCGGCTAGGCTGAGTGCTGTCCCCACTGGGGCCCCCTCACACGCCTGACTTTTTCTGGAACCCAAGTCTTCCGCTTCAAGTATGCCCAGATTCCGTCCTCACTGTGGGTGTCCAGAAAGGCTGCCCCAGCGACCCGCTGGCCAGGGTGCCACTTCCTGTCCAGATCTCCGTGGGAACTCGCTGGACAGGTGCTACGCCATCCCCTCCTGGCCTCGCTTGGGGGGATCTTAGAGTAGGCTAGGGAGAGAGACTTAGAAGGAAGATGTGGTTACTTGCGCGGGCGCCAAAGGCAGACGGAGCCGGCTTGGATAATAGTCACCGTCTCTCCCTCTCTCCCTCTGCCATTTTTAGGGCTTTCTCTACGTGCTGTTGTCTCACTGGGTTTTCGTCGGAGCCCCACGTCCTCCCGCCTCTGAGTCCTGGAAGCAAGGGGCGGCCCCCTCCGCCTCCCAGCGTCCCAGAAAATGGGGAGCAAGGCCCTGCCAGCGCCCATCCCGCTCCACCCGTCGCTGCAGCTCACCAATTACTCCTTCCTGCAGGCCGTGAACACCTTCCCTGCCGCGGTGGACCACCTGCAGGGCCTGTACGGCCTCAGCGCTGTGCAGACCATGCACATGAACCACTGGACGCTGGGGTATCCCAACGTGCACGAGATCACCCGCTCCACCATCACCGAGATGGCGGCGGCGCAGGGCCTCGTGGACGCGCGCTTCCCCTTCCCGGCTCTGCCCTTTACCACCCACCTATTCCACCCCAAGCAGGGGGCCATTGCCCACGTGCTCCCAGCCCTGCACAAGGACCGGCCCCGTTTTGACTTTGCCAACTTGGCTGTGGCCGCCACGCAAGAGGATCCCCCTAAGATAGGAGACCTGACCAAGCTAAGCCCGGGGTTGGGTAGCCCCATCTCTGGCCTCAGTAAATTGACTCCGGACAGAAAACCCTCCCGAGGGAGGTTGCCCTCCAAAACGAAAAAAGAGTTTATCTGCAAGTTTTGCGGCAGACACTTTACCAAATCTTACAATTTGCTCATCCATGAGAGGACCCACACGGACGAGAGGCCGTACACATGTGACATCTGCCACAAGGCCTTCCGGAGGCAAGATCACCTGCGGGATCACAGGTGAGGTGGGGAAAGAGATTGGCTGAGAGAGGGAAAGCGAATTTGTCCTGGATACTGAGTCCTAATAGACATTCCAAATGTCACTAAAATCACCTCTGATCTAGAATGTACCTCCAAAGACGCCCCAGCCTGCTTCACCTACCCCCCAATATCTCCCTTTTTCTCCCAGCAGGCCCCTGCTGCCTTCTTGTTCAGGATGAGGGAGGGCCTTTCCCCAACCTTGGGCAGTAAAAATCTGGTGGGTTGCCCTTAGTCCTGGGATCGGTCTTCCTGTTTCCTCCCGGTAGGAAAGATGGGGAGGGGGGCAGGAAAAACCGAGAGACCCTGGAGTTCTTCCCATGATGGCTGTCGGTCCTGGCTGCCGTTGGACCACTTCTGAAAATCTGCTCCGGCTACCTTTACCGGGTTCCCCTGCCCCTCCTCCCCACCCCCACCCCCACCGCCCGACCCTCTGCCCCGTGCACCTCAGATCCTGCCACGGGAGCCCTTTTAAGCCGTATTTGTGGGGGTCTTGAGGTCACTGGATTTAGAAACTGCTCCCAACTCCCCTCCACGCTCTTAAACTCTGCTTTAGTAAACGGCAATTGAAGGAATACTATAACGTGAGTGTTTTCATCTGGTTAAAACGTCCCAGGAGTGGGGCTGGGGTTATCTTTTCCGAACTCTACCTACTGGTCTCTGAGATGGGACTTCTGTGCCCATCCTCTGTGGCTGTTAAGGGATACGCTAAAATCAGTCCCTCTAAGCTCAGCCTTACCTTGAATCCCGGCTTGGCCAGTTTAAATCCCAGAGAAAACCGTAGAGGCCAAGGAGGGCTCTTTCGGCACGATTTCGAGCTCCAGAATACGCCAGAGAGGGCGATCAAGTGTAGATAAAGCCCGCCAGACGGTGGATGTTTTGAAGAATTCGTTAGTTGAGGTTAACCATAAACAGAATTACACAGAAAAAAAATCCAAAAACTTAAATAATGGAAATCATATTTCTTTTGTTCTTCTACGATTTCGTTTTGAGTAATTATCAAAAGAAATTCTACATCGTCAGGGTAAAGCCATTTCAATGAAACCTTATATTGATTTTCAGGTATATCCATTCCAAAGAAAAACCCTTCAAATGTCAGGAATGTGGGAAAGGATTTTGTCAGTCTAGAACTCTAGCAGTTCACAAAACTTTACATATGCAGGTAAGTTTTTTGTTGTTGTTGTTTAAAAACTGACTAGTTCATTTTATCGTGATTCTTTAACAAAAGGTGTTCAATGACAAGGTGTTTCTCCTAAAAGGGTCTATTTAGATTAGTTCTCTAGGTGGGGAAAAGCAGCACTCTTAATTTTTTAATGCGTAAAAATCGTATTTAACATAAATACATTTATATATTTTTCTTAAAGAACAGGCCACTTGGTTTGTCATAACTCCTAATTTTAGAATTTTTTTTTTCATCCAATCTGCCCTGCATTTAAAGCTCTTGTGTTTGGGAGGAAATAAAGGTAATTTTGATAATGGAGGCATGGTGAAATCCCATACGCTGTCTTTCCCAGGGGCCTCATAATTTGTAGCTTTCATAACATTGAGGAATAGTTTAATTTTCCAGCAAAGAGGAGCCTTATTACCCGGGAGAATGTCGTTCCTTAAGAGAGGATTAGAGTTTTTCCTTCCCTCTTTTCCTGCCTATGACATGGTGATGAAATGTAAAGAGCTGGAAATCACAAAGCCCCCGTGGTGGCCGCGGGTCTGCCTCCTCCCTTATCAGGGTAATCGGGCCTCTGTGTGTGCCTGCATGTGTGTTTTCGTGATTGGAGGATTAGGAGCGCAGATTTGTTCCTGCAAGTCCCCTCTTTTGTTGTCATGGAGTGTTATGTTAACGCTTGTGATACCGATAAGACAGAAACTATTGAGAAGGGTGTAGTTGTGGTGTGAAGGATTAATCCTTTGCTTGCTTCACATCTGAACAGGAATCTCCACACAAATGTCCCACATGTGGAAGAACCTTTAATCAGAGAAGTAATCTGAAAACTCACCTTCTCACCCATACAGACATCAAGCCCTACAGCTGCGAGCAGTGCGGCAAAGTGTTCAGGCGAAACTGTGATCTGCGGCGGCACAGCCTGACTCACACCCCGCGGCAGGACTTCTAGAGAAGCCCAGGATCTGTCCCGTGCCGCCGCTGCTCCCCTCCCCAGACACCTCTCCACGTCTCCTTCTATGGGGGTCCCACCCCCAGCCCTTCACTGACCCCAGCTCTTCCCTTGCTGCAGCCGCACCTGTAGCTCCAGGGAGTTAACTCTTCTCCAGGACTGAGAACTGTAGAAAGGCACACACCACACCCCTTCACACAGAGCAGACGCTAGTTTCCTGTAGATATTCACAGCTCATTTTAGAGCTCTGTACATAATGTTGTGGGTCTTTGTTTTGTTGTTTTGTTTGTTTTTATATCCTGTTGGATGCACCTAGATATGGAAGATGGAAGCCAAATTTATCTTTAAAGACTGTATTTTCAAAATAAAACGTTTTCTTGTCTGTTTCAACACTTCTGCAAGGTGTCTTGCTACTTAACCTCTGTTTTTCTCTAGATTGTAGAAGAGCCGGCTGCCCCTAAAAAATTCCATACTGAAGGGTATTCTTTATTTCTGGGTTTTTAAAAAATAGGACTTCTCAGAATCCTCTTACTGAAAGTTCAGCCCTTCCCTTTTTTGCACTTGGCATTTTGGAATTGGACAGATCTCTTGATTTTTCAAAGATATAAAAATGGATACCCCCTGAGGTTTTGTCCCCTTTTGTATATTCCAATTCCTTGTGTATTATCCCTGGAGATAAAAGCAATCTATTCATCATTATTAATAACATGCAACTTCAATGGTTGCCCTACTGGAAAGCACAGGGTGAGAAGCAGATAAAGCAGAGAAGGGAGCTCACCACTTCATGTTTTAATAGTCCTTGGCCTGTTGTCACAGTTTATGACGGGCGACTTCTCTTACCATTAGACTTTGAACACTATGATTTATCACTGTAGACAGAGACTTTATCCTGCCTTCAGGAGAAAAGTCTAAAATCCTCATGCAGGAAGATACAACCTTCAAGAAGATGTGACCAAGGGGGAAAGGGGGAAACTACTTAGCTCTGTTTGCACAAAATGTTTCTTTCCAATGGTGGAGATCGTTTCTTCTAGAAGGTTAGGATTTCTCTGCAAAGCAAAGTGTGTTAGGTTACTGGCAAGGTTTCCATCCCTGGTTGGCCTTTTGTCCCTGGGAAAATGCCAGAAGTGCAGTTTTCTCCATGTATAGAGCTCATGGCAAATATGTGATCACCTTCTGAGGCATTTCAACCTTTCCCAAATGGGTCCTGGGGAATATGACACTAGTAATAACCCTGATGTATAGTGTAGGATATGGGTGGAAGGCTTTGGATGGAGATTAAACAGTAGTGTTATGCAGAGACTAAGAGTAAAATGATTGAACTGAAAGGGGGAAGATCTGAGGAATGTGTGGCCCAGCAGACCAGTAGATTCTCTTGTTTAATATTGAACAACAGGATGAATAAGTCATTCTCAGAATTTTAAAAATTAGTATATTTGTGTGAGGATGGCATGTTTCACCGTCAGGGCAACATGTCCTATGTTTGCACTTTAGAATCCTCCAGAAGGTTAGGTAGGGATTTGAGGACTAGATCTGAATTTCTTACCAGTGCCTTGTTCAAAACAACTTACTAAGAGATTTCAGAAAGTGTTCCTAACTCACTGATAACCCTGTTCTCAGGAGAGTTGGCTAGATGTCACTTTTGCTTCTCACGAGAGATAAATTCTCTCCAACAAAGTGTCCACTTGCCAGCCTATGTGTCTAATGCTCACACAAATGCATCCTCCAGCATGGGATAAGCTTCCTGAGGAGAAGGGGTGGAGTATGGAGTGCATGTATGTGTGGCAGTTAGAGGAATGCAGCAGTTGTTTGCTTTCTTTTATTTGTACAGAATTAAGTCAGTGACCTCCCTACCCCTCCTCTCTCAAGATCCTGCTCACTCCTTGGCATAGGAGATTTGAATACTTTAGGGCAGGGTTACACATTGACTGTCCCTAGAGCCCCCTAATCCTGCAGGCTTTTTCCACATAGTCTTGCAGCCCCACCCCTCCCCTACCGACTGCAAGTGTCACAGCTCCATCACACAGGGTTCAGTGGAATTATCAAAGAATGACCCTTGCTCGCTATCCAGCTGAACACATGTCCCCGGCGGAGAGATACATAGGTACAACCAGAATACTGTTCCTCTGCATTTATTTTAGTTGAAAAAAATAGGATTCAGAAGGGAAAGAAGAAGAAAAGAGGAGAAAGTGGAGAAATCCATTCTTTTCCATACATATACTGTTTCAAAAATTAGAGTTAATTTATTTATAATTTATTCATTAATTTAATAAAAGCTTAATATGTGCTGTTCATGTGCCAAGCTCTGTTCTAGGTCCCACTGATTTTCATGATCAGTTTCTGCCTTTCTATATCTAGTGACACATTTTTGGACTCTTGACTACTTAGGTAATTTAAAAACCTACGATAGGGTTTAACAGTGTCCCTCAATCTAGACTCATATATCCAGCGTCCACCTAGGCTCAGAAAGGATCCAGTTTCTGTCAGAGTAGACTCTTCCCACACACTCTTTGTGATCTCAGGTGAACTTTTGAACAGTGGGTTCCTCTCCAAATTCTGGGTTTTGTTTTCTTCTTCTTTAGATTGTCCAAGTATATAGGACATGAATCTTATGTGACAAAAATTTATGAGACATCATAGGGAAAAAATATTGTATCTTAGGAAACAGACCTCCTGGGGTTTCTGGTTCAGAGAAGAGTCATTATTTGAGTTTTAGATTAGCCTGTGTTTTTCTTACTCCCTTTACCACACTCAACTCATGAACCAATACTCCTGGCAAGAGACCAGGAGTGGGAAACATCACGAGTCATAACCACAATGCTGAAGAACTTCATAAACAATTGTTAAGTATTGCTCTTGAGCTGTGACTATAATCTTATTTTGTAACCTATGTGTGATATTTTAAAAATAATTTCTAAAAATGAATCACATTGTAATTGATAGGTTAATATAAAATTATGGATGTGTGTTAGGTGCTCTCACTGATGCTAATCTTGAAATGTAGGTCATTGTAGGACTAGTGCTTTATAATTGTAGCAATTAAATTTGCTATTTTGCACAGGCACATCCTCTTGTACCTGAGGAGGACTTTCTAAAATTTGACTCTAGGTCAACTAAATATTTAAAAAGTCAACAAATCTAAAATCCCAAATTTTAAATAGGCCCAACTAGCACTAGTGATAACATCAGAGGCCGTTACTGGGAATTTCTTCTGTTCATTTGTGAGATATTAGCATAGACATTTGGACCTCTTCACTTAAACAATGTCAATCAGATACTCTTGCCCCAACTTTAATTTTGGAGGGGCAACCTGGAAAGCACTTGGGAAACATTAGTTCTTGAACATTGTCAGCATGACAGACTAGATGCATTTGATTAAACACTGTAGAAACCACAGAAAATTTAATACAAGAAGAGTATTGACATAATGGGTTGCCTTTCTTTTTTCTGAAGTAATTTTAATATTATTATAATAAGGAAAGAGAAAAATTTATGAAATCATATAACTATTGCAAATAGGAATGACTTTTGTATTTTAGAGGTTTATTTGTATTCACCTTTATTAGTGTGTTTTATTGAGACTATATTTCCCAATTTTTCCTTCTCCAATGTAACTTGCCACTAATAACCACCTCTGCTGACAGCAATGAGCAATAAAGGGTGTGGAGATTCAGAATGATTCTGCTTTGATGACTTGAGATATTTCAAGTTCATTCCTGTTTCTTTCTTTTTTTTTTTTTTTTATTGCTTGTTGGTTTTTTCCCCCAACACAAATTACTTTATTATCTAAGCTATGTAACTTTTTTTTCTTGAAATTTTCCAAGGCAAAACTGATAGGGAAAATTGTATAGCCTAAATAGCCCACAAGAGGAAAATTGTTAAGTAAATTATAATGCTATATCTGTTAGGATGCTTTCTATTGTACAAAACAGAAAACCCACCTCAAAGGGTCTTGAACAATAGAGGATTTGTTTCCTCATATAACAAGAAGCCTCAAGATAGGGTCCAGGGATGCATAATTAATTAGAATGACAGGATCATCTAGGGTCCAGTTCTTCCCATTTTTCTGTTCTTGTATCTTTAGTGTGTCAACTGGGCTCCCTTCTTGCCCAAAAGATGGCTGCAACAGCTCCAAGCATCAGCTTCACTCCTTCCTCCTCACACACATAAGCAGAAACAGGGATTATTTCTTCCTTTTATCACTTTTTAAGAAATAAGAATCTTTCCTACAAATCTAACCTGTAGACTTGACCTTTTATTTTATTGGCCAGAAGTACATCACTTGTCCCTTTCTCAGCCAATCACTGACGTGGGGAATAGAAGTATACCAAGATTGCCTTAGACTAAATAAAAATCACCTTCTATGCATGGAAATGGCATCAGCCTTCCCTGAACCCCTTGACTGGCTGAACAAACCTGAGTTCTGTTAGCAGGGAAGAAAGGAGAACTGGCTACTGTTAATATTAGGCAGAAGTTAAACATGAAGTTTCCACTTGTAACCTTATGTTAGGAGATGCTGATGTTAGAAGGCAGAATATTTAAAGTCATATACAGTATTATTTGAACTATATAAACAACAACAACAAAAACCTTCCAAAAACTAAGCATAAACAAAAAGTATTAGCAGAAAATGTACCAAAATGTTAATAGCAGATATTCATGACTGACAAAGTGTATTTTTCTTTTTTTTAATTTTCCAATTCTTTTACAATGAATACATTATTTTTACAAAGGAAAAAGTTAATAAATATCATTTTGAAATCTAAGATACAGCCTTAATTCTCTCAGTATTTTAAATTTTTCATCTTGCTTTATTACCTCTGACCAGTCTTTGCTTGTTTCTTTTCACACACACCGATATAAACCCTCATGCTTCCTCAAAACCATTCCTCTAATTTAGTTACATCTTTACTTTCTAGTTTTCCTTTCTTTCCTCCTTGATTTCCATTCAGAGCTCCTTTTCCTATCTTTTCCCTTTTCTAGGTTTCTTTATTCTGGTTCTATATTTTCTCCCTTTTTAGAGCTTCAATAATTCTAGCCGAGTGTTCTTCAAGGTCTGAGCATTAAAATTACCGAAGGTACTTATTTCTGTGCCCTCCCTAATCCAGTGGGTGAATTGGAATTTCTGGTGATAAAGACCAAGTAGTCTGCATTTTAAACAAACACTTCAGGTAGTTCTTATGTGTATTAAAGACTGAGAACTTCTGCCTTAGCCTTTGATACCATGAGTTCCTTTATCTTATCCATTGGCCAATTACTGTGTGCCTACCATAATAAACATAAAACAAATCTCAACCCGCTTTACTTATTTACTCACTGTCCTTGAAGTTGTCAAATTTTCCTCTGCTTTGATGCTTACTGCTCTTCCATGGTTTCCCCCACCTACTTTTCTT